CCTTCTTGGGAATATTTTTACATATCTATCATGCACAGACCTTGGACTGCAATGATGAGTATGAAAGGAGTGCAGCTGCCAAAACCAGTAGCCTTATTCATTATTCACCAGAGGGCAAATTATTTACATGTATAACAATGCATTTGAAATACATTTACCAAGCAGCAGCATCAATTTCTTCAGATACAAAAGAGTTTCATTTAAATGGTTCTCAGGGCGAAGAAACCATTGCCCACATAAAACAGCGGAGATAGCTTCATTATCAAAACTGAGCATTATTAAAATGTCAAAATAAATATCAGGCAGAAATATAGCAAGGGGAAGCAGTAGCTACAGGCAATAGCCTGCTCCCTCTGAGATCAGACCCAGAAGTTCAAAAGCAGCTCAGGACAAGACGGAGTCTGGCGGCACCAATTCGTCCTCGTGGAAGTTGTTTTGTTCCTTAGATAGGTTTGTTGACAGCACATCATAGAAAGTTATTAAGTATCTGTTTTCACTAGGCATGACTCTCTTTTTCATCAGTGCTTAAATATACTAAATGAGGAAAAACAGGCAATATATAAACAGAGTCATTAATAATATAAATCTCATCTGGAGTAAAAGAATAATATGGTCTGTCTCGTTGTTCTGCATAAATAGTGATCTCTGTGGTTTTCCATTTGTCCTCTCTATGGATTTTTCTCCTTTGGTACAACTCATCTCTCATTTTATTCTAGTACTTCTTCTGGGGACATAATGGGAACCACTTTGAGGAAATCAGCTAATAACACCTCCGTTTCTCACCTGGACAGCAAGCGACCTCGCCAACTACCGCTATCCTCCCACCACTGGGTTTTTCACCCCTCCTAGGGAGACCTTAGCTCTGATCGCTTAGTCTTTGCAACTGGGTCATTAAATTAGGTTTCTAGCTTCAGCATCTGGTTGAGGGTCATTAATACGCATGTCATCGGATAGGTTCCTTATTCCAAGGTTTACTTTGAAATTGTCTGGCTGAAATCTAACTGTGTTTTCTTTCGAGACCATCTTCTAGCAGTTTTTCATTCACTTTGTTTTTCACTGAGGGACGGGATGGGGTTGTAGAAATCAAGGGCAGTTTTAGTATCAACTTCTGGAAAAATCATCCTACTCTCCTCATCCTGTGAGTCTATCTTCCTTCATATTCTCTACATCATATGAAAAAAGCTTCCCAAATGTCTCTTTGGTTTGCAAAATACTATTGAAAGTAAGTGGGCAGTCTATAAAACTGGAAAGAATTGAAACTGTAAGGCTTGCGAAAGACAAAAAAAAAATCAAAGAGCATTGGGGTGGGGGCTCATGCAATATTGGAAAAGGAGAAATGCGTAGATCAGGCAAAGCCATGATGAGACACCACCTCCTACCCCTACTGTCCACTGCGTTTAAAAGAGACTCAAAATCTTTTGCACTGAAGTCTTTTGCAAGTTTACACTCTGGGTTTTTTTATTAACTATCAAAGCCACTGCAAGAGTCCAAGCAGATTGGCTCCCTTGGGAGACACTTGATCTTCCTAACCTGTCACCAGTCAATTCCTGTATAGAGAAGAACCTCTATGTTGGCCCCTGCCCCGATTCTGAATCCTAGTCTCCAACAGTGAACTCAGAGTTCACACATGCTTAGTAGAGTTACCTTAAATCCCCTTCTTCTACATATCTTCTCATGTACATCAATAAAAGCTGACGCTAATTCTAGGTGTTCTGTATTTTTGTGTTCTGGATCATAAGTGCCCTGAAACAAGTACTACCTTTTAGTCTTTTTCTATCCCTACCTCACAGTACCTAAGGTTCTTCGGCCACTTAAAGAATATCTGTTGACTTGAATTGGCTCTTGCAGCAAAGCAGACGCATTCCAGGGAAAGGGCAATGAACAAAAGAGAGAGAAATATAATTAATGCCCTAATGCTTTCTAACAGATGCAAGTGTTTTTAGCTGTTGGATCTAGGGCAATCCATAGCCCAGAGTACTAGAATCATGCTAAGGAATGCAAATTCCGAAAGAAAATGTACTCATCCTACAGATTTACTGGCCCATGTAAAATAGTTTTCAAGGCACATGCATTAGTTTTTTTCTTGCAAATATAAAAATAGAAACAAAAAATAATGCCCTGCCCCAAAGATATTCACACCCTACTCCCCAGAATCTGCAAATTTGTTATCTTCACAGATATGATTAAGGGTATGGACTTGAGGTGGGAAGATTATCATGAATTATCCAGGGGGGGACCAACGTCCTTAAAAGCATTAGTCCTTAAAAGCAAAAGACCTTTCCCAGCTATAGTCAGTGAGAAAAAGATGTGACAATGGAAGGAATGTCAGAGATGTGTAATGTTGCTGACTTGGAAGATGGTGGAAGAACGCCATGAGACAAGGAATGTGGGTAGCCTCTAGAAGCGGGAAAAAGCAAGGTAACAGATACTCCCCTAAAGCCTCCACAGAGGAACACACAGCTCTGCCAACACCTTAATTTTAGTCCAGTGAGAACTGTGTTGGACTTCTAACCTTATAAAACTGTAAGATAACAAATTCATATTGTTTTAAGCCACACATAATTTGTTACAGCAGCAACAGAAAACTAGTGCAAAAGGCAACCCTGGGCTGCAGCATGGCCCTCAAAACTGGTTTCTTATTCCTGCTGAAATTGTCCCTCTATTCTCCCTTCCCCTCTTTACCTCTTGGCTCACTTTTTCTCACCTTTCAAGATTGCAGAAACTTTCTCTCCTCTGAATAATCTTGGTTTTTATCTACAGAGGCTATAAATGTTTGACAAGTGAGGACCATGTTCTTTGCACATATTAGTTTGAATGATGGAATTAATTACTCATCATTTGATGGAATGTAAAAATAAGGGACAACAAAACTGCTTTCTTGTCACTGCTTTTAAGAAAAGAGTAAGATCACTCACTCACTAAGATTCACCTACATTCACATTCATCAAGTCCTACTTTATTTCTTTCTTCTCCTCTCTTTGGACACACACACACACACACATACAAAGTTAAATCCCAGTTTGTGGCTATTTAGAGTCAGATAAGTAAGCAATACATTCATCCCTAATCAAAAGTATGAGCTGTTGGGCTGGCCGAGTGGCTCAGTTGGTTAAGAAAGAGCTCGCTCAAGAGTTTGAGCTCTGAGCAACAGCGGTTCGAGTCTGGCCCAAGCTGAGCTGCAGCTGAGCTGCCAACAGGTGGCAGGATGGCTCAGCCAGAAAAATATATATATATATATATATATATATATGAGCTGTTGTGAATCAAAGGTTGGAACCAGAAAATTTCAAGAGAAATCTGAAAAACACAGAAAAGGTTCCAAATGTGGAGTTCAAACCCAAACCCATTATTTGAGAATTAAATAACAGGACTCATGTGTGGTAGTTTTAAAACATGTCTTCAAACACTTTGATACTCCTTTCTCCAGAAGGTGAAGCCTAAATTTCCTCCCCTTGAGCGTGAGTTGGAGTGAGTCCCTTCTAATGAATAGAATATGGCCAACATGAACAGCATAGAATCAAGTCACAAAAGATATTACAACTTCCTCCCCTCAATATCGATTTCTCCCTCTCTCTCTCTCTCTCTCTCTCTCTCTCTCTCTCTCTCTCTCATCACTTGCTCTGGAGAAAGCCAGTTACCAACAAACACATGATGATATAAATGAGATATATTCCTTAGGGCAAAGGTTAAAAAGTAGAAAGTCAAGATCCTGATTCAGTCTATATATTCCTCAGCTCATAATGGTAGATTTTTCTTGTGATCTAAAATTTTTAAAATCAAGCAATTTTATTTAGAAATCCAGATCGCCAGCCTCTCTCAAAAGTTTGAAGACCTGGCAACACAAAGCCCTGCATTTCCATCTGGCAGCCATGAGTGGGAAGTGAGGATCAGCCTTCTGCTGTAGAATAGACATACTCTCCCAAAGTTCACCAAAGTCCCCTAACCCTATTCATCCCCACACTGACACCAATAGCATGGCTTTTGCACTGCTGTTTCTTCTTTAGTAGAGAAATACTTGCCAGTTCCCACATCTCTATCAAAAGTAGGAAACAAAAGATATACAGAAAGGGTTGTATGTCTTAAGAAATCTAGGAGAAAACTTACTTCTTGGTGGGAGTGAAAAATATTCCTACATGTTTAATAGGCCCTCAATGTGTATCTGTGTCAAATACACACAACTTAAGATCCCATTTTTTTATGCTCATTTAGGCTAATAGACTGGTCCCTGTAGGTAAGTGAGTTTATTAAACTGTTCTTTCTTACATTGGGCTCTGTAAGTGGGCCTAAGGTAAGACACATGAGCTTACAAGATCTAGCACTTCAGCATCTTAAAGGTAGCCACCAATATTACACATTTCCTCTCATGTTACTTGTTTTGAGAAGAAACTTGCTGAGACCATCGCTTCTATTTAATCTTTTTCCAATTTTGTACTTATTATAATTGTTTGGCCTGAGCTTCTTATTGCTGACTCAAATTGTGTCTTACCACAATCATAGCAACTAATCAAAGAGATAATCTCAAGTACAACCCCAACCCTAGCATATATGCATACCTTTTACTATTACTAATACAATAGTTCTAGGAAATAAACATTAAAATAAAATGAGAGTCAGAAAACTACAGGCCAAATATTGCCCACCACCAGCTATTGTAAATTAAGTTTGACTGGAACACAGCCATATTCATTCATTTACGTATTGTATGTGACGGCTTATACACCATAGTGGCTGAGCTGAGTCATTGAGACAGAGACCTTAAGACCTGCAAGACTAAAAGATCTTCTATCTAGCCAACCCCTGAATGAGAAGGATAAAGTACACGTATTTTGATGGCTAATAAGCCAAGAATACACTGTGCTTCAAAAGAACACAACACGGAAAGGTAGAGTCACCATGCCCTCTCCAGAACGTTTGCCTTAAAATTCATAATTGATAACTCTAAAGCTTTTTTTACCTTCAAATGGACATAAATAGAACAGTTAAGTTGAAAATGAACTCACCGTGGCGAGTTTCTGGACGTCTTCATCTGATGCTCCCAGAGACGCCAGGCCGATTTCTTGTGAAAATTGAGCAAACTTTGGATCCGCAAGTAGTGGAACATGTCCCAGGAGTTCGTGACATGTGTCTCTGATAAGAAAACCATCACAAAGAAATGTTGTATGAGAAGCTTCAAACTATCACTGGTAAAAAAAAAAAATACTTAAAACCCTAAACATAACCTTGTTACTCTAGTTAATTACTGTTACCAAATTTCATTAATTCTGACTTTTATCACATTTTAACATCTTTGAAATAAAATGTGCCTTACAATCAATGGCATCTTAAATTATATTATATATAATATTTTTAATAAAATAAGAGCAGCTATTTTAAAGTGCTTACTCTATGCCAAGAATCTGATAAGTGTTTTATTATATCTATTATCTCTTTTAATCCTCAAGAGAAACTTAGAGTATTCAAGTAATTTATTAGTGCAAAATCCAAAGGTTAGCAGTGGGCAAACTACAGCCATAGACCAAATCTGGCCCATGGTCTGTTTTTGTAAATAACGTTTCACTGGCATACAGCCATGCCCATTCATTTATGTATTATCTGTGGCCCCTTTTGACTAAAACAGCAGAGTTGAGTAGTTATGACTCAGACCATATGGCCCACAAAGGCTAAAATATTTACTAGCTGGTCCTTTGTAGAAAAAGTTTGCTGACTCATGCTATAGATAGAGATAAAGCCAAAATTCAAATCCAGCTTGTCATGATTTCTAATCTCTTGCTCTTAACCCCTAAATTGCACTACATCTCATGTTACACTTTGCCAGACACTGGGAAACAGCAGAGCATCATACTGTCATCATCAAAGTGACTTTCCCCATAGACCATTTATCTGCCTATAACACAAACAATTCCCTTGAGCCTGCACTTTGGAAGACCCACCCGGTCCTCTGCTTTGCATGGCCTGAACTAGGTAATAATAGAAGTTTAGACCCTCTCTCATTTGGCTGAGCTTCCATTTGGAGCCAGATGACGAGGCAAAGGCAGGTAGGTATGTGTCACAAAGAAGCAAGGCAGATGACTTACTGAGTCATGGCCATGAATCACAAACACTTCCTTGATTCTATATTGGAATGAAGTCTCCAATGACTCTCTGGGACTAGATCAAGAGGCAGCAATATTTTGTTTTCTTGACAAAAACTAATTAGCCAGGCAGTAATTAAAAGATGTTTTCTGATTTCATTTGGACTTCTCTGAAGTATATCACTTTACATAGGTGCTATTATAGAAATGCCAGGTGCTACCACCATTATTACAAGTATAAAGTAGGTTAGGTGGTCATGTGATTGAAGCAAGTGAATGGTGGTCAAAGGGACAAGATAGATTCCCATATAAAAGAGATGGCATGACTCAATCAAAAAATCTTGTTCCCACAACTTAAACCATGTCCCCAAGCTTGGCCAGCCCCTTCATAGACATGTCAGGCTGAAAAGGCAGCCAAGTGAGATATGCGGACACGATACTAAAAGAAACTCCAAATTCATTCCTTGTCAACTGTGTGCCAATAGCTTTCTTCTTGTACATAAACTGAATTTGTGGAAAATGATGTGCTGTTTTTTCTCCAATCACAATGTTTAAAACAGAGAATCAGACTTATTGAATTTTAGAGGATAAGGGGAATGTAAATGTTACCCAGGCCTCTCATTTTACCTACAAATAAGTTAAGGGCAGACGGGTGGGGGTGGGGGGTGGGGACGCTAACATATACTGAGCTCATACTGTATGCTGGATATTGTACTAAATGTTTTCTTATCACATTAGTAATTTAATGTTCCCTTACAAAGTTGTATTATTCCCATCTGACAAATGGGGAAGCTACAATTTCGTAAACTTAAGCTTCTTTTCCAAGGTCACTCTATTAATAAGAAACAGTGACAAGATTCGAAATCAGGTTCCTCTGCATCAAAGCTATGCTCTTTCTGTTCTGTTGTTTTAACTTGTATTTGTGGATTAAATCAGAAGGGGGGTGTGCCATGGCTAACCAAGTTGGTTAGCACAAATAAAAATGTAGCATGCTGTCTCTTTTCCAACCAATCAGTGATCTTCAACCCTCCAAATTACTTGAGGAGCATTTTAAAAAATACCAGTGACTGGGTCCTACCTAATACCAATTCAGGCAGACTCTCTGGGATATACCTGAGCATTTGTATTTTTTTTAAATCTCTGCTGGTGATAGTAAGATACAGCCAGGTGGAGACCCCAATGTCATAACTTACAGTGCTAAAAGCTGGGCTAGCAGGCTTCAAGCAACTAGTGTTTGAAACTACAGCTGATGTGATTATGTAATTTTGAGCTGCCCGAGTTTAATTCCACTAGAATTACATCATTGATACTGGAGAATAATGAAAGGAGGTGACATAAAGGTCACTAGGTAGCTAATTATTCCTCCATGTGCATTTGATTCAGTTAAAGGTCTAAGACTTCCACAGAAGGAGTAAACCCTATAGACTCGCTCCTGTGATCAGGTTTTTATAAGGTCATGCAGTCTGCACCAATGTTAGAATTAGGACCAAGTGGCCCACCATGGATAAATCCAAATACCCCCATTGTAGCCTGTGATGTAAACACTAAAGCACCTTTACTGATCCAGGTAGAAAATGTGACAACAATAATTCCAAAATTAGACCAGATGTCAAACTCCAGGGAAATACTGAAGATGGTATTAGCTCATGGTATGAATAAACGAGGTGAGCAGAAACTAAAATAATTTTTGTGGCCAACCCGTATTGAATTCTTATTGTGGGTCAGGCACTGTGCTCAGCACATTATAAATGTGAGAACAGAAGAGGCCATGGCTTCCATGGTGGTGAATTCTGGGTTTACTTTGGAGCTTGTTAAATACTTGAGGAAGGCTGCTACACAAGACAGTCTTCTATCAACCTAGGTCCTAATGGAGCCCAAAAGCTAGAAGGGAAAGTGAAAAGCTGGCAATTAAGAAGGGAAAGAGGAAGGAAAATACGAGATCCAAAGACATTCAGATGTCAATTCTCGGTGGTAGAAAAGGGGTTGTCATCTGGATTGTAAATTAAGGTGTCATTATCAAAAGCCTGTAACTCACAGCCAACTTAAGAAGATTTAATAGCATTACAGTGACAAGGTAATCCAACTATACATAGAAGAGGAAAAAAGAAATTATAGATTTGAAAGGAAAAAAAATCACACACTATAGCAGCGTACATTATATTGTTTCATTGAGAATGAAAGCCTGAAGCAAGATGTCTGACAGAAGCATTAATGGCACGTTAAGGGTGCCCTTTGCTCTGTTTTAAGTAGAAGCGCTCACTCTGTATTGCACTAGTTTGCCCCCTCTCCTCAGCTCCGTCTCCACGCAGAGAGAGCGTTAGGAAGAGCTGCTGCTCCAATTCCTGAGCAAGTAGAGCCACAGTATGTACAGGAACCACCCTTCTCCTCGAGCCAAGGCTTTAAGCACCTATATTTCAAACCAGAAAGAAGGTTATTGTCTTTTAAGACTTTGGCAGAACAGTCTCAGAAATAAACACCAGATTATGCTCTATCCCAGTGTCTTCAGCTAATGCACGGGATGTAGACAAAGGCAACTGAAGCAGAAAGATCTTTAACGGTACTAATAAAAGCAATTAACTCTGAGAAGTCGACATTTCTTTAGTTTCTTTGAGACTGAAGGACTTAGACGCTAGATTGACTAAAACTCTTCGGGGCTGAAAGAGGTGCCAGACTGTTGGGGGTCTGAGGAAGAAGGCTGAGCCTTCTCGCCAACCTTTGCATCAATTAAATTCTGTTGGACTGAAATCATGCCATTTCACCCTACTTATAAAGTGCAACAGCTATTATGTCCTGCAGGTAAAGTAGTTCCCCACGTTGGTATGTCATCCACAGCTGGACCCCTGAGTATCTAATTACCACCAGGTTTCTGAGGTGAGTCCACAGCTCTTGCCTTATCTTACCAGATTGCTCTTAAAAGATTCAATTATTTGGCTATAATTGCACCTGTCAGCACATGCTGCCTCCAATCTCTACATCGGCAAACTTTCCCCTTTTTAACTCACATCCTTTTGATGCATTTTTGCCTGAATAATGCTTTTCAGAGTCCTTTTCCCAATAGTGCTCTGTTCACTGAAATGTAGGACCTTTCAAAACTGTTAACACTGTAAAACATCATGTCTCCTTTTGAAGAGAAAAAAAAAAGAAAGAAAGAAAGAAGGAAAGAAAAGCTAGAGCTGATACCAGACACTAAACTTTGGCTGCTCTAAATTGGAATCTTCTCTGATAAGCCCTGTTAGAAGGACTCTAAAGCCTCCCGAAATGGCCTACAAAGGAGCCTGGGCAAAATGCCTCCAGGGAATTCTTAAATCATTCTAAGAAAGTTGCCATCATTCTGCTGCCTGGAGAAATCAGGGTCCTGGTTGTTAAATGCAAATTCAAAACGAGCCTGGCATTTTTTTCCCTCTTATCAGTTCTCAAAGCTGACTGCTCACACTGCCCGTGGAACAGCTCCTTTTTATTTCTGCTGTAAATTGAAGCCTTTAAGAAGCAGTGAGTGAGCATCCAATGTTTACTTCCCATCCCAAATCAGCGCATCTGTCTTTCAAACCATATTTCTATAGGTTTTGTTTGTTCTAAATGACACAGAAGCCAGTACTTTAGCTAAATCATGAAGAGAAAGAAAAGATGAGTGGGGGAGTGGATTGCTTGCATTGATGAAAAGAAGTATGGGGATGAGCTGGGAGCCAAAATGGGGTATTTTTTTCAGCTTTCACACCACATTTGGTGGGTAAGTGCAAGTCATCTGGGATAACGCACTGGGAAGCATTGAAAAGGGGGTGACTCAGTTTGTTTTCACTGCACTAAGGAGATGATAACAGGAATTAATTTGGTATAGAGGCAGTTTTGTGTGGTTTTTTTCAGTGCTCACTCTGGAGCCATATAGAGTTCCTTTAGTTTAGATTTAAAATAACATACGGTATCTGGCCCAGATTTTAGGCAGCTCTTACGATCATTTCCTCTTATGTCCTTATCACAGTGTAGATAAACACATATGTGGCCCTCTTTTTACGAAGCCAAGCCCTGGAAAAAGTCTTCTTTCCTTATTTCCCCCTGGGA